TCTGAGGATCTCAGATGTATCACATCAGGGTCACCAGTTGCTGCTCACCAGCCTGGGCTGCAGCACCAAGGACACTGTTGCATCTTCCACAAGCAGGAGGAAATGGCCTGCCTCTTGTAGGCAGGATCGGTACCTTGAGTTAATTAGTTTCATTAGTTCATTATCTTCTACTCAATCCAGCTGGCTAATAATGATTGGATGCCATATCGGTGTCCCGCTTGCAAGGGCACAATGCAAAGGGAGTCTTCCTTGGGTACCACCAGGATCTGCCTGGGACATCACACTGTGACTGCTTCAAGGACACCTCCAAGAAGATGACTTGCAGATAGTTTGGGCTGCCAGCTGTGGTGCCTGCTGCTGATGGTTGTGTTGGGTTTGGATCAGGATCATGGACTAATCCCAGCTCCATGAGAAAAAAATGGATTTATCTGGGGATCGAACAAAGCCAAATCCTCACAGTAGCAAAGTAGCCTTCATCCTTTTCTCCCTAAACCCATTAAAAGGGCTCCTAGATAATAATAAAATGCCTAAAATCCAAATTATTGCCCAGAAAACCACATCTATAAGCATTCACTGAGCAGTCTCAGTCACCAAGTGAAAAAGGTGCCCACAAGGTCTGATTTTGCCTTCAGGCAAAAATAAAAAACCAGTAAATTCAGCCTGGTCAAGCTGAAACCAATGGAGTTAAATCAAAGTCTAAGTTATGCTAACAAAGAGAGACCAAAGCTCTGATGGCTTTTTAAAAGGAGTCTTCTTGTCTTGCCCAGTGGGTCAGGTAAGGTTTGTCTCGAGACTATTGCTGTCCTACTTCTAGCCATGCACATTGTTTCTGTGGATTTCAGGAGAAATTTGGCTGTGGGACTTTTTTGATCACCTCGTTGACTCATTGACTATCTGTGTGTATCATCCCAGCATCAGCTCTGTCTCCAGCATTCAGCATGGCCTGTCTGGAGGAGAGATGGAGACAGGCTGCGTTGGGGAGCACTTGCGCAAGAGCGCGTATTTCGTGCTTCGATGGGACACATGAAGTTGATTGGTGCTCAGTATGTTCTGGTATGGTGGGAACGAGAGGGTCTTTGGGGCCAGAGCAAACATCTACTCCAACATAAGTGCCCTGGGATGTTTACTTGCCCTTTGAGAATGTGATAGTTCCCATGAGAACTTCTTAATTCCAGGCTGGAGGGCGCCTGGTGTCCCCACAGATGGGGAGTGAGGAGAGGAAAAAGACCAGGGTGAAAACTGAGTGAAAAACAGGACGCTCAGTATCACATACTTCTACACACGCTTTATCTGTTGACTAGCAGCTTCCATCACGAATGAGTATTTGCTTACCACCACCACCATAGCTACCCATTATCCCATCCAAGGCCAAAGTGATGCAACCAGGTAGCACCACATGAGACCTGGTTATCAAGCTGATCTGCCTGTAGCCAAGGCACACTTGGAGCCACTGTCTCCATCTCCTGACTCAAAGCACAGTCCCTCCCTTGAAAGTGACTTCTGGTGCTGGAACAAAGCAAAGGTGAGAGGTCTGCATCAAAGGACTGAAGCTTCTGACTAGTTCCCATCTGCAGATTTGCTGAACAACGTCATTGGAAAACCTGTGATCTCCTTTTCTAGGGTCAGTGTCAGCCTGAAAACAAGAGCAGTCCCTGCAATGGGGTGGGTGAGGTGGGCAGTGCTGGCCTGTGCCTCTCACTCTTGTGCCATTGCACAAGAGGTGATTACAGCCCATTGCCATCCTGTGCTGCTGCCCCACGGGGGACATTGCTGCTGTTCACTCTTGGTTTTTTGCACCCCAAGCTGACTTACGTCTCTTCTACTTCTGTCTGGCCTCTTCCCTGGGGAGCAGCTCTTTCAAAGACACTGACATCCTCCAAGTCTCCACAAACTGAAGGCAGAAGTAGGCAGCAGAGATCTGGAGATCCTTCCCTAGCAAGTCATAAGACTTTCTCCTTTTTCATCACCTGGAAGATAGGGTAAGATGCTTTGCAAGTGGAATAAGATACAGACTGTTCTCGTTTCTACATGTGTGTTGGCCTCCGAGGAGCAAACCAGACTGAATGGTGAGGGTCTGAACATGGAGGACAACTTCTGCTAGGAGAGTAATGCGAGAACAAGCCATCATTGTCCCTGTGCTGAAGTTCACTCGCACTTAGATGTGCCTGCAGTGCAGAAAACCAGTTCCTGGAGGAGAGCTGAGGACAGCACTGATGTGAGCTCACTTTGGGGAGAAAAGGCTT